AAGATAAGAATTGGGATTTAGAAATTGTCTTACCAAAGCATCTTTAAGAATGGCTGTAGAAAAATTTATGATAAAAAACCCATTCTTTATCACAGGCACTGACTAAAGAATCAATGTGTGTAAACAAAGCTATAATTTAAGGGAACCGTATTTTTCATTCCAAAAATAATCTCTTACATAATATATTACATTAATATAAGTTTTGAATTAAAAAATATGATGTGTTTAATCAATACCTGATACATAAAGTATCAACATTAAATGCAGGAGAAAGGAAAAACTCATGTTTCAATCTTCTGATCTAGCACCACCTGTGTGCCACTAATGATATCAAGCATTATATACGTCCATGTACAAATGTTTTTGCTTGTTCAAATAGTCAATTCAAAATGTCAATCCATGTCCCCCTTTCATAAAACAGTTACCGTTCACGGAAGCTCAGTCGGTAGAGCGCTCGCTTCGTGATCGGGAGGTCGTGAGTTCGTATCTCAGCCGCGACTGACCTAGTCGTTAAAATAGGTAGCAACTGTTCCCTCGCCATGCGCCCGGCACTTCGAAGTGAAAGTTGCAGGTCCTTCGGATGAGTCCTTAAAAACCGAGGCTCCTTACTGCTCAATTTCCCTGAGTGCCGAGTAAAGGTCAAAATTTGAAGCCCTTATTCTTAAAACTAATAAAATTGCTGCAAAAATCTTATACACTTTCGTCGCCCGCATGGCGCAGTGGTTAGAGCGTCTGCTCTAGAGTCGCGAAGTAAGGAGTCAATCCTTACGTCGCGGGTTCGAATCCCACTGCGGGACTTGGAGACCGGTCCTTCGGATGAGACCGTATAAACCGAGGTCCCGTGTCACAGTAGGTGCTGGCACGAAAAAGATCCCTCACTGCTCAAAGGCCCTGAGTGCCGAGCATAGGACAAAATTTGTAGCCCTCCACCGGCAAGTGGTGGCGTCTCCATATGAGTGAAAAATTCTCGAGAGGGACGTTAAACAATAAACAATCAATCAATCAATCATAAAACAATTTGATCTGCAACAAATCGTAAGTCTCATTATCCAATTTAATTTCTTTATATGTATAAGCAGAAAGGTTTATATTACAGGTAATGCGTTCTAGGGAATGAAATGAAACATATGGAAATAACGAACAATATTCGAGATCAAAAGTCCATGAAATAATGCAAATGGAAGCAGAGCAAACACGGACCCCCAAATATCAGAGCTGGGATCAGATGCCATGGATGAATATGCATCCCCTGCCGACCAGTCACACTCACTCTGTGCTCCTTGTAGCTTATTCATTTGATTCCAGCATTGTTCTATTATCGTTCTTTTAAAATTGTTTGGCCTTTTGATTTCAATGTATTACATGTACCTTTGTACTTGACAAAAATATCATTGTCAATATCTGTTAATCAAATAATAAAATTAATGTAATGTACAGGTGCTATGATGTACAAATCAACATATAAAAAGCTGCAAAGGAAAAATGCCTTCTGCAAAGATGTTGATTTTTTTTACCATGTAGATGTTCACCTAAACAATAACGTTTTTTTTTCAAAATCTACATAATCATAAAAATATCTTCACTAGTAGAACAGTCAAAATAATTATGTTTAAGTATCTGAGATCTATTTAATCAAATGAAATGAAACCTCACACTTTGACAAAACTTTTTTTAATTTTCGAAAATGTGTTGATTTATAATCTTGTATTAGTAATATGATGATCAGGAACATTGTATACGTATATTTTGAATGACCCTCGTACATAGTTTTAAAATTACCTATTAAACAAACTGGATATTTAATTAACCTATTATATCTTTGTTGTAAACATAACTTAAATCCAATTTATTTTTTTCGTTTAAAAACATTGCAATATACTGGAAGTAATATATAAATTTAAAGCAAAGAAGCCAACCCTTTATCAAAGTACCAGCAGATTCTTAACTATGATTCATACGCTGTTGGTTAGGTAAATAAACTTGAAACCTTTTATCCTGCTGTGATATTGATTTACGTGAATGTAAACATTAAATATATTGTCTCTTGGTTTCAACCCTTTACTTTGGTACCTGACTAAAGTACTCTTTTGTATCCGTTAAGTAAATAATGAAATGGATCTCCAAATACCAAGAAGGGTTTTTTAACAGCTGCAGGAAAGATTATCCATAAAAAACAAACTTTTTTGAGATAACAGAATTAAGATGAATTAAGATGAACACTTCAAACTGACAACCATCACCACAAAGACCCCCTAAAAAGAAAACAAAGTAATAACCTTAAAACTTCGACAAAACATTTGTTGCACAGTTGAAAAGATTTGCTCATAAGATTTTTAGTGATCAAATATAAAGGTAGTTGGATAAATTAGGAAATTTATGTTTTGAGAAAACTAAGGATCAGTTAAAAGGAAAATGAACAGGAATGTGTAAGGAAGGAAAGAAGCAAGGTACAATCTGTGCTATATTCATGGGATGTGTCACCTATAATGGTTTAGAAACAATTAATATTACACTCATTAATGGACACATGAACTCAAATATCTGTAATATTGAAACTTTGGATAGGTATTTGTGGCCTTTACAAAAAAAACCTTGTTTATCATTTTTGGATACTCAAGAAGATAATGCTCCTTACCTGGTATAAATACAATATTATGCCTGGATAGCAAGAACTAATATCCCCATTTAACATTTGCCTGCACAAACTCCAGATATGATCATAACACAAAATGCACGGAGAACTTTGAAAATTCTATTGCTCTGAAATATTGAATACCGTATAAGTGGAAATTTTAGCGAGACGCAAATTTAGCGATTTCAACCTTAAAACTGGTATTCTATTTTTGGCGAGAATTAATTTTAGCGAGTTTAAAACGCTAACTAAAGAAGCTATTACAAATAACATGCAATTAATTTTTAGCGATATCCAATTTTAGCGATGTCAGCACCCTCGCTAATAATGCCAAAATTTATCCTCGCTAAAAATTCTACTTATACGGTACATAGGACAGAATATTGCAGAGAATGCGGATCAGCAGCAGCACAGAATCGACTCAATGGTTTGCGTTATTTCAATCAACGTTACACAATTACATCAACATTAAATATCCCTGAACTGCATGTGACTACAATATGATTGAATTACCCCATAGGACTCAAGCGTGCGATTATTACATACAAGACCCACCAACTATTGAGAGATCGACATAATGGATCTAAAATCAACATGGTATTATAATATCATCAAGAATGATCAGCTTTTGTTTGCATTCATATAAAGAAGAATTTAATTAAAAACCTCTACTAGAGAAGAAGACACACTTGCTGCGACCTTTTCTCGACAGCATAGAAATGTCGACAGTATACATGTATGAACGTTTAACAATAGTAACCTTATTGTTCTGCAACGAATTTATCGATTGGAAATAATATATTAAGATTGAAATAAAACTGTATAATGCATGGTACATTTATTTCATTTTTGAAAATTTACATTCGCAAATGTTTTCCTTTATATAACACCACTGAAAGCAATGCGTATCTATAACTGTAAAAATACAGGTAGGGGGTCAAGAGGTCATAGATGTACGTATAGATAATCGTTCGACGTAATTTCTAAGTGACGTCATAAAGGGTCGACGCGCGTTCAGTGGATAACATACATGCCCTTGGGTTTGAAAAATAATGCATTTCACATGTTAAAAGTCACAATCAGGTAAATATAAAGTATGAATAAGTCACAAATGTAAATATAAGTAATTAGGTATCATTTTAAAAATCTATCAGGCTATAAATACGGGTTGGTACGAGATTAAATTCATCATAAAGCCCTTCGGGCTTTATGGAATTTAATCTCGTGACCAACCCATATTTATATCCCGATAGATGTTTAAAAATGATACCTTATTTCTTAAATGTAGCCGTATATATACCTCTATTACCTGCATAAAGCGTTTATATTTCTAAGTAGATCTGATTCACAAGGATATACTCTTAATATGCTGACTTATGATTTTAATAGTATTTTTAGTCTATGATTTAGGGTTTCTGTCATTCCTAACCAAGACCTGGATTTGTGAAGGATTTGTAGGGGATGTTCAAGGCACCCGATCCAAGTTCTGAAGTTTTGATAGTACATATGTACTTTGTTTTAAATAGTTATTCTTTGCATTAATAGTTGAATATGAATGCAGTCTGTTCAATATATTCACAAACAAGCATTTCATTCAAAGCTTCGTAATGAATGTTTTAAGAAAAACTACCTATTTCCCTGTAATTTTTACATTATATTTAACACAAAACAATTAAAACTAATTATATCGGTCAATCTATTTAGAACTATAGAATTTCCTTTTTGTATCATTTTGAAATATAAAAAGAAAATAACAATCACTTTATACCTTTAAATTTTCAGATTGTCCATTGCATCGTCTTTGATCTTGATACCACATTTTCAAACGTTGAAATAGGAACAACGATTCATGATCCATGTTCTATCTGAAAAGAGATTCAATATATCGTTCTTGTGTAACAGTACATTTTAACTGTCCGCGCTTCTCGCAAACGTCAAACAATACATTTTATATCTTTTACAATGAGTAATAATGGGTCAGCTTTTATTATACGACAAATTTTAACTGCGTATCTTGAAACATTAATGAAATATGCTAACATAAAGACACTTATTTAAAATGCTAATCAACGCGTTTGCTCGCAAGACAATTATGATCAGCTTTAAGCCGATCTTTTCAATTTAGAATATATCCAGAATTACACTTTATTGATGCTTTTTGGTTGCAAGTTATAAATATGAATGCGTGTTGACATTGAATTCATAGAAAAAATAAATCGTTAAATAATGGTAACAAAAACACATGGCGACAAAGTTAAATTGTAAATTATATGATAAAGAAATAAAGTATGTGTGCCATTGATTTTTTGTAATATATAAATATAAGATCTAATGGACATTTTGTTCATGCAGAGGAGCATTTAAATTTGAAGACAATGCATTTCAACATTGATCAGCTGCTTTTCTTGATGATTTTAGGCTTCATCACAGGTCAGATTCATATGGGTATGTTTTTTGTGATTACTGTAATAACAAATGAAAAGTAGAGATTAAAACTTCATTACTATACACTTTAAAATCAAATACCATTAAACATCCATGTAATTATGTACATTACAAGGGGACCATCTTTGAAAATATGTCTGCTTGCACTCTTCCAACTCTGGAAAAGATTAGCTGAGTATGTCTATAGGGTAATTTGAAAATACCTGGGAATATTATGTTCACAGAGGTAAAATTAAAGTTTGGTATAAGAATTTAAAAGGGTGTTTAAAAAGATAATGCTTTCAGAAGGTTAAAAGTCCTTCGTCGGAGCATTTTAGTCAGTCGTTCGGGGTAGGCAAATACACATTCTTTTATCAGAAGGCTTTAAGAAAGCTGCCATGATGGTAACTTGAATGTTTTCCTTGAGAAAATATGTTTTTGTTTGCGGCGTCCTTGTTATACTTTTTACAACTTTACATGAATTAAATAATTAAATTTCAATTAAAAATAAAGAACAATTGAGAACAATTTTACAAATCGGAAAGAAATTTATAATTCCTGCAAAACATCTCTGGGTAACAAGGAATTCTGTAGATAAATAAAGTGATTCATATTTACAGAATTTTTAAAAAAAATAAATAAAAGATTCTTAATCAAGAGGTATAAATCGTAGTACTATGTAAACTATTTAACTATTTAAGTTATTTAAACTCGTAAAAAATCCTCAAAATTATTTGAGGTCTTTTCATTCAGAAGTTACATTAAGACAAAAATTGGATAAGTTTACATCAGTTACATGTAATATTAATGTTTCCTTTCCTTTTGTTGTGTTGAACAATTAAATGAAAAAAAAAACTTATTAATCATAAGAAAGTATAATAAAATATGATAACGATCATTTCAAATAAAAGAAAATATGGTTTACCTTTTATTTACTATGCATGATTTATACGTGTAATGTGATCAATTTCGGCATATATATAGCTTTGGTCAACCTATCCATTCATATACGAGGGGTTATCAAAAAGTTCGTGGACTAGCGCCATAAGATTAAAACCGCTTTAGGCAAATCAATGAATTTTAAAATATCTACTTGGCATCATCTTTTCTATCTAAAGATTAAACCATAAATCATAAATTTTATTTTTTAATAAATTAGTTATGTTTTTGTAAGCAATGGTATGTCCAGGCGGCGCAACCTCGAACACGACGGTTTTGCAACCTATGTGTAACTGAGAAAAACTCTTTTGATATGAACATTTGACATCCAAAAGTCCTGTTAATTCGGGTATGTGTCGGAACACAATTGTTCCATAAAATATGGAATTTTCATTTCATTCTGGAAGTTCTATGAAATTTTATCGGAAATTTTTCATGGAATGTCCCCAAAAAATAAGGCCTTGAAAATAACGTAAAAAGGGGGAGGGGTTCCTTTTCCAACATTCGATAAAATTTTGCCCCTGAAAAAAACTGGTTTAGACCTAAGAAATGTTTAAATTGGCTACAGAGAAATAATATACGTGCAGAGTACTTGACTTTTAATGTCAAAATAGATTCAGAGAGAACAGGGATACACAGTTTATGTCAATTTGTAGTCAAGGTGTGAGAAATCAAACATGTTAAGAAATGACGTTGATCATGAGTTATAGATATTGATCTCCCAAAAGCAAAATATGCTGGCACAATCAAGCCTGGATCTCTCCCAATGTATATCCATTTGGAATATTACATTCATTGAAAGCCGCTGTTAATGACATTGTAAAGACATATTAACAAGGTGGGTTGAAGTCCTTACTCAGCTCCAGGGAATCTCATCAAAAAGTGTATGAGGTAGAAGAAGCAGACATTGAAAAAACAATGACATTGTCGGACGTCATGAAAATAAACGACGACAGCGCCAGGTGATCATATAATGTCGTTTTTATTTTGAAATAATTTGGCAAATAATGAACGTATCAATCTAAAATTTCAACATTTCTTTATATTTTGTTGTTTTATGTTTCATATAAATTTTGAAAGCACAGACTGCATAGTACTAATTTTATAGCCTCAGTCCACGAATTTTTTGATAACCCCTCGTATGAGAACTTTAAGAAGAAATTGACAAGATGAACATTTCATACTGATTGAAAAAAAATCTCAATTAGTTTTAAACCCTTTTTTCAGATTTGGTAACAGCCTGCGAAAAAGAGTGGATTTCGTATCAAAAAAGTTGTTATTATTTTTCAACATCCACAGCAACATTTAGAGGGGCAATGGTATGATTAGATTAGAATCAACAGCTTTTTATTCTTTTTAGTCCCCTACCATTGTCCGGTGACACCGGAGGAGAAATAGAATTCTTTTCAGTCTGTCAATCCGCCTGTTTGTCCATACGTCCGTCTGCCTGTCCCTTTTTGACACATTTTCTAAACGCTTGCGGATATTGAGTTTTTTTTTTTGAATTCCAGTGTATCTTGATGAAAACGGAAGGGACAATATCCTATTATTATTGTTAGAACTTTTTATCAATTTTTTTTATTTGACAAGAGCTTCAATATATTGTCCTTGTGTACGTAAAAGTAGGCCGTGCATTGTAAATGTCAGCTCTTCTAGCAAACGTCCAACAGTAAATTTCAAACGTTTACAATGAGTAAAGATAAGTAATTGATTTCTTTTTTAATTTTTTCAAATATATGGTTTAAGATTGGGTTCACTTTGCACTTAATATTTTAATGAATTTGGTTAATATTTTCAATGCAAATTTTTTGTATTCTTCAAAATCGTATCGGATCGATTCTCATTCTGCAATTTTTTTGCTACATTACGGCTGTATGAGAAGCATTCGATCTGTGTTGGGGACTTGTCCAGAGACAAAGTTAGATTATTCTAACTAAGTAACAAACCATAGATTAAGTTTGAGTTTTTGATACTGTCTGTTATCTCCACATGTTTCATTTTTCAAACATGTAAAATAAACTGTTTTTACCAAAGCACTCCTAATGAAATTCTCAGACGTCTGTCTTTGTAAAGCAGATCGACTTAATTCCAAGTCATTTCATTCATAAACAAGTAATCATCGAAATGTCCACATTTTGGAGGGGGCGCTTTTCATGTACATGATATTATAAATTGATATTCTGAAGATAAACGGGGTACTCTCAAAATGCTTGTTTAATTTAAAATTGATATTATCTAAATTTAATATATACATTACAAATACCTTGTTTAAATTCTTTAATATCAAAAACTTTAATATCAAAAAGACTGAATATTTAATATCTACTTTATATTCATGTATATACAACTTTATCAGGATAGCTGTTTATAATTTTAATTTTCAATGAAATATTTCCTTTATCTGACTCAAATCTAAATATGATGCAGAATAACTTTATATAATACTGTTATAATATATAACCTCTCTAAACCACTAAACATAACAATTTTATTTTACATTTTGTAGTCGGCGTGCTATCTGATAGGCGCAGAACTCCTGGAACTTCAGAACGCAATTGAAAAAAAGTGGTTTGATAACCAGATCCGACTACGAGGTATACTTCTATAAAATAATAATATTTGACATACTGTTAGAGTGAAGTGTAACGCTGGTTTCTAAGGTTTTCATAAATGAATAATAAAGAAAGATATTTTGATATCTTTAATAACTGCTTGTATTAAACAAAATCAATAAAATATCTTTGTTCTTTTGAAATTTTGTAATATAATCTTTATGATAATATGTTCTATACGCTCTTCTGTTTAAAGAAGGATACTTCTCTTATTTCTCTGATTTAAAAATTTATGAATTTTTCATAAAACAAGAACACAATATCACTAAGTGATGGTATCAGTGAAATTAAATTTCACTGTTTTATATTAAAGACAAGGCAGTTCAAGGTCATTACCTTTTCTCTGAAAATTAAGAATAAGGAAAAATTGTTGCCAAATATGCAATTTCATTTGTATTTCAGAAGAATGAATGTTTTTTTTTTATTTGCATGTAAAGATCCTATCATATATGGCCTATAAGATGATATTACCAAACTGAAATACACGATTTAACTGAAATGGATATTAAATGAATTTTTTTCAGCCATTTTTTATAATTTTTAGGATATTCAATATAATAGTTATTTTTATATGTTTCATTTATTTAATTTTTTCTTATTTTTGCATATGATGAAGATTTCTCAAATCGTTTCATGATTTACTAAGAGTAAAACTCTTTTGACGGATTTCTGACTCAAATCTGTATTTATATTTGAAGCGTTTAAAATCTAACATTGTTCTAGTTTGTTTGACATAGCAAATTTATTTGATATATTTTAAGATTGTAGTCCCTTATCATATTTTATTTACATTTGAAAATTTCTTCAAGTTTTTGATTGAGTAGGAACTGTAACTAGATTCATTGAGTTTATAACATTTTCTGAGGCAGGAAAGAAGATATCTTTATACATTAAAATTCGGCCAAAAATATAGTCCCTGCTAGATTTCAAACAAAGTTTACCATTTGCATTTGTACAATTGTAACGAAGAAAGAAAAATATGGTCTTTTAAATCTCTTACACATAAATATATAAGACATATTGGAAAACATATTTCATCTTGTCGGAAACCAGAGAAGAATCCCACGTTAATTATTCGTAACATTATGCTATGAACATTTATTGAGGTTTAAATGTCATTTAAAAGGTCATTCGCCTCAGATCTGGCTTGGTGCAAGTGATACACAACAGGAAGGACAGTTTATATCGGTCTCAAAGGCTGAGGTTCTACCTTACAACCACTGGTTAAAGGGACAACCAGATAACGTTGGCGGAGCAGAAGACTGTGCTACTTATTGGCTTGCTTACAAAGCAATGAATGACGCACCATGTCACTACACGTATAATTATGTATGCAAAAAATAAAAAAAAAAGCTCACATCATTACGTGCATTTTACTTTTTTTCTTTGTTTTGAATTCCAACTCAGAGGACAATATCATGAGAAAATGAACATTTTTCTAAAGGGACATTGAAAACTATGAAAACTAAATTACATTCTTGATTTTCTTTTCCAAAATTAGACTGAAAGATAATGAGATAACAAACAGTATTCACGTTGAAAGGTCCATAAAACAATACAAAATATGAACAGAGCAAAGAAAGACCTAAAAAAAAATATCAGAGGTGGGATAATTTGTCGTAGAGGAGTGTGACCATTTCCTGTTGACGGTTCACACTCGCTGTGTGTTTCTTGTCATGATCAGGAAATAACAAAAAAAATCCGTCGTCAATTCCGTGTATAAATTACGGAATACTTATTAGAATGAACATAAGTAAGCATTTAACTTAATGAAAAATTGCATTTGCCGACAAGATCATTGTATTGATCGACCATAGAAACTACGAAATGATAATTTTAAACGTGACTGCTGATATTCTGAAATGTTTCATTAATTTGTTTGACAATAATTTTCCTCGAAAAATTGTTTTTACGCAGAGCATGCTCTTGCATATCCAATGAGGTGAAATACAGACACGTGCCAAAAGTATGTCAATTTTTTTTCAAGATGGCAGTCGTAAAAAAATAAATCAATATATCATTTTTAATAAAAGTTTATTTTCACTCACGGATTTTGACTGACTGTTGTCACCATTAAGCTGCCGTATATTATTTAATGCCCTTGTAAACAGGAGGTAGTCATAACTGCTATTTTTCCATTATAAATTGAACAAGAAGCATGGGACGAAGGGGGCGGGAACTTACTATAATTGATGAATTGATTGATTGATTGTATACTGTTTAACGTCCTTCTTCAGAATATTTCACTGATATGGAGACGTCACCATTGCCGGTGAAGGGCTACAAATTTAGGCCTATGCTCGGCACTTACGGCCTTTGAGCAAGGAGGGATCTTTATAGTGCCACACCTGCTGTGACACGGGGCCTCGGTTTATACGGTCTCATCCGAAGGACCGCCCAATTTAGTCGCCTTCTACGACAAGCAAGGGGGTACTGAGGACCACCTATTCTAACCCGGATCCCCACGGGCTTACTATTGATGAAAAGAAGACCGTAATATCCCTAATGGATAGTGGATCTAAAGCAGTTAATATTACTATATTACTAAATTTGAATTCCTCGACAATTTTTCGATTCTTAAAGCGATTCCTTGAGCGAGGTTAATAAACCTCGAACAAGACAGATGGTGATCACACGGCCCTCTCTAGAATAGGTCAGTGCCAAAATCTGTATCGAGCTTCATCGTCAGCAGTACTGGAGAAGGACTGAGGCAAAAAAAAAAGAAGTGAACAGGAAGAAATGACTTCAGTATTGTACTAATAAAGTAACTTGGAAAGTTGACCAACACTGGAAAAATATTATTTTTAATAATAAGATGACCTTAGTTGTAAAACGAGATGGTAAAGTTAAAGTTTGGAGGAAAACATCTGAGAAATTGAGAGGATATTGCTTAGGGTATCTTGGACAAGGGCCCTCACGCTGTTTGAAGTTAATGGTGTGGAGGATAATAACTTACATTGGAGCTTAAATACTGACTTTTATTGACGGTAATATATACTCTCAGACGTACATTAGTGTGTTAGATGAACATTTCTGGCCCGTGATAGTAAAGGATTTTGCAAATTCACGAGGCATTTTATGGATGACAATTGCCCTGTTCATCGCTCACGAGAGACAGAAGACTGGAAACATAGGAAGAACATTCTACCATTTTTTGACCCCCACCATCCACTAATTTAAACCCAATTGAAAATGTCTGGTTTGTTTTGAAAAATCATGTTAAACGTCAGATTTTCCACATCACATCCGTACCATCTACGACTTGAAACACGAACTACAGTATGCTTCAAAACAATCTGTCAAAAACTTACCTCAGGTCTCTCTACTCCAGTCTACCGAAACGATGTCGGAAAGTGATCGCATCCAAAGGCTTCATCACAAAATATTATGTAAAAATACGAAGAAGTAAAGTAAGTGCATAATTTTTTATTCAAGTAATACACAAAAACTATGGCGACCACACTTTTGGCACGTGCGTGTATATTAACCCCGTATGCAGTCGATGAAGGTATATTGCTGCATAAGTAATGGAATCTGACTAATATAGAAAAAGTTAGTCATCACGTTTATCATATAGATTGTTTGTTTGATTACCACCATTAAGGTTTTTTTTTTCAAGTAAAATATCCATGGATGAAACAGATGTGTTAGACTCTGCATGTGGTATCTTATATCTCAAGCTCACCAGGATATATCGTATCATATAATTCTAATGACCCTCTTTTTCTTTTTCCATGTAAAATAAAGTTTGTGTTAGACAAAATAACAATAATATTTGATGACCCCCGTTTTAATACAACAAAGGCATGCAATCAACACATTTCTTTTCAGTTTTGATTTGAGGAATTGAGATTGCAATACTGAAAATTCCTTAATAAACGCGTGGAATTAATTATCACGCAATTTCGCTAGAAGCACCACTCGCGAAATACAATTACTCGCCTTTATTTTTCTGGTGATAAAAACATGTAAAATCTCTCGATGGATTGTCCACGCGCGAATTATTATTCTCGCGATTTGACGCTGAAGAGGCCTTTTGCGATAATAAGTAATCGCTAAAAATAAGGAGTCTACAGTATATATGTAAAATGCAGAGGATTTCACCATTGAATTTTATATTCATCATTACAATTGTTTTCCATATATGGTAAGCATATAAATGTGTGTAAAACCAGGTAAAAATGTTGATATTTTGAATTTTCTCTCATTCCACTAAAACCAGGACGTGAAAAAAAAAACAATCTGGTTTTCTTGAGCATGGTGCCTTTTAATAATGAATCTAACTAAATAATAAAATCTGTAAACAATTGTGGTTGTTTAGTTCAACCATACTTCAACGCAGCTAGGATAAGCCTGTCAATAAAATATCAAACGATTCTAACTGTAGTAACTTCTCTGAACTACCTTGATATGACGTCATAATAGAATATGATGTCATTTTACTGCATACTTGAGCTTACATATCGGGGAAAGTGTAATAATTTTTACGTTCCTTTTACATGTCAAGTTATTTGTTTTGGCTTTGTTGTTAAATTCAGGCGTCTTTCTTGCTGTTTAGCATCATTCAGCTGTTATGATATTGAACTTTTGAAGTTTGAATATTTCTTTTCCTTTCGATTGTCTTATATGCACATATTCAAACAATAGCAAAAATTAGAATGTGAAACGGTCTCCTTAGACGTCCGTAGATGGAGTTAGAATTTAGGAAACGAGTTAATATATGACTGACACAAATTATTAACAAGGATATATTGAATATATTCTCTGTGAATGTATAAGAGAAGTATGTCCTCTAAATGGATTTTGCAAGGGGATTGCAAGTAGTTTATCCGTTTTTGGATGAATCGTGATAAAGAGTGGAAAATACCCTTTCTTACGTGGGTAAGTTGATTTTCTCGTAAAATATTTTCTCAGGAAGTAAAAGTCAGACTTGCCCTCAGCACTTTATATGAACTAGAGATAACGATGAATTGATCTATAAAATTAAATTTTTTATTACCTTTTTACCAGTGAAATACTGTAATTTATTCATTGAATAAAAGTGATATCCTGTCACAGTGTGAAAGGATATCAAAATGTATCAGAAATGCGGGAAAAGTCTCGATTTTCCTTCCAACAACAAAGAATATTGTTAAAAAATACCCCTTTGTCCAATAGAAAATAAACATGCCATTCTGACATAGACTAAAACTGCCAAAGATACCAAAATATATTGTTAAAATCCTTGTTTACGACATTTTCAATCTAACAACACTAAGCTATAACGTCTCAACTGCTCAACTATGACGTCATATAGCCTATGACTGCACGAGAAAAAGACAGAGGAAACGGGAAAATCAAAATAAAATTTAATTAATAGAAAATTCAATGTTTTGTAGTTGAATATGTAATCTATTTCACTCGTGAGACAGGATTTTTTGATATTTTAACTCGTGCTTCGCACTCGTGAAAATATAAAAAAAACTCTGTCCCACTCGTGAAATAAATTCCATATTCAACTACAAAACATTGAATATTCTCTATAACTTTTCACAAACAAATTGTTTTGCACTCGTGCCGATGCGATTTTTGTGCAACATTTAAGAATATCATAAATGTCCTAGACGTGATCAACAAAGTTATGTGGCATCAGAAAAATGCTTTAAAAAATTCCTGACTCAATTCTTATCACAAGTTGGCTGCAAATTCAAACAAGGAATACATGTTGAAATTAAAATGTAGCTCACAAATGAAACATATCTTTTTATGCATTTTATTGCTGCCTTCGGACAGCCCGATCACAACTGTGAAATTTGCTGTTCAATGAAACAACAGTAGTAACAGAAGTTATCTAAAGCACAGGGAGGATAGACCTAGAAACCATGTTGTTAATTATGATTGGATTACTGTTTGAAGTTGAAAATACATTTATTAAATCTGGTATTTTTACCATATGAATCCCGAGGACTGGAATGAGTGGGTATTGATATATTCACATGATTTACCGGGTTGTTAGGGTGTGAGTTCCGATATCAGACCACGTTTTATAGAAATAATGTGTGTTCCTTTTTAAATCTCAACCAATCAAAGGATATAATACAAACAAAATTAAATTATGAGAATATATTTAACAAAAATATTTTCCGGTCTGTTTCCGTATTTTTTTAAACCACATTGAACCTCCTTCATGAATGATAATAAAAATAATTAATAATCAAAGATACAACTAAATTTTCTTCCGTAAAATCCCCTAACTGATTGTAAACATAACATTTTTGTCTGATGGTTTCCACGTGTTACTCACGTACTCACCTGAAGTACTCATGGATCGTTTTAACAAATTACAAAATATATAATCTTCAAACCTACATAAATGTCTGAATTGATAAGGAATGAACCTTTTATTGGTATACAGTGGACCTTCAGATATCCGGACGCCAGATATCCAGATGCTTCAGTATCCAGACGACTTTTCATGGAAACAGATTTTTTTTAAGTGCTAGTATTCTGTATTGTTTAACTTGTAATTCAGATATCCGGACGATTCACATATCTGGACAAATTGACAAGGAACCAAAGCATCCGGATAAATGAGGCTCCACCGTATACTCGTATGCTTAATGTTGAACTCTTGATCGTTTAAAATCACAATCAGCAACACCTCTTCATAGTTTGGGTACAAAAACAAATTACACTCGGTGCTCCTTAAAGATTTAATGAAACAATAATCAACTCATTTGCTGGATTGATTGATTGATTGTATACTGTTTAACGTCCCTCTCCAGAATATTTCACTGATATGGAGACGTCACCATTGCCGGTGAAGGGCTGCAAATTTAGGCCTATGCTCGGCACTTACGGCATTTGAGCATGGAAGGATCTTTATCGTGCCACACCTGCTGTGACACGGGATGTTATATGATACAAAATGCAGTAATTTTCTTTTACTTATTTTAAACTGAAATCTGATTGTAAAAAAGTTAAAGTTTATTGATTAATTTTATGATTTCAGATAATAAATGACTTCTGTGTGTTTCAATTGGTTATCATTGTTATGTTATTGCCACAAGAACATATGTCGACATTGCTATATAGTAGGGATTGCAATTGATTACAGAATTGCTAATTCGTTAACCGGAATACCATGAATATTGCCTGAGAATCAGATACAGATAAGTGTCCAACGCAGATGTTAAAGAAGTTTATTCTGCATTGTCACCATAATCAAAACCATGTCTGAATTCTCACTTCACACTTTTTTTCGTAATAGTAATATATAACAAACTTAATAGATACATGTAACGGCAAAATATAGACATACTAATTTTAAGTGCCAAATGGTGATATTTTTACTATCATTTAAAAATCACATGGAGGGCACTCAGGGTATAACAATATGATGTTTTAAAAACAGCAATTTACACTTTACAAACTGACCAATTACCCCGTGTTCAAAAATACAAATATTTGTATTTTTTCCGACGAACCGATTACGGATTTTCTAACTGATTAGCATCGTTCCGACCGATTAATCGATTTACCGGTTAAGAATTGCCCCTACTATATTATAGTAAATCATATGATTAACAAATACAATTAGATTGTCATTGATTTTATTAATAACAATTAGGAAGGGAAATTCAAAAACATTTGAGAAAGTTATGTTTAAAAATGTCATAATAAGGTACCGTAAGAGAACTAAAAAGAAAGAATAACAATTTGTGGTTTTGTCTTGAGGTTAAATAAATCTTTGTCAAGGTATTTTTAGTCAGTTGGTCAGGAAACGTTTTTAGATGACCTTAAGGAATTTATTTAAACTGAACTTTCATGACCTCAAATTTTTTTCGAGGAGTAAGCCAACGTAGTGCATGTACATGTAATACAGTGAAAACGAAGTTAACTAAACATAACAAAATCTGCAAACCTTTTATTATATATTTTTTTAAAGGAACAAAGACCTTTTCTTTAGAAAGAGTTTAGGTTTGGGAAAAAATCTCGTTTGAAAGACATTCTGAAGATTCAAAAGTGGAAAAGTTTACATCAGTTGTAATTTCTAATTTCTGCTTTTATGTTGAATCAGAAAAAATAAATATGCAGTTAATTTTCGTATAAATCATAAGAAATCAAACGAAAATATGACAAATATCACATCAAAATAAATAAATATTCATGGTTAACTTGTGATTCTCTTTTTATGTATATCTTAATTGCAATGAGCGTTTTCGGCCAATAAATAGCTTTCATCTACCTATCAATTTATTTTGAGACCTTTGAAAAGAAACTGATAAGATGACCATTTTACTCATTGATCAGATCCTCGAATTCACTTAAACCTTTCCCTATCAGATTTGGTAGCAACCTGCGAGAAAGATAAGGTCTCCAATCAAAAGAGTTGTTATTATTGTTCATCATCCACAGCATTTAGACAGAAACTGGTACGATTAGAATCAACATCCTTAACTTATTTAAATTCAATATTGAATTCTTTCAGTTAACTTTATGTATAAGAAATATCTCAATGTCCAAAATACAAAGTATTTCATTATTATTGTTTAGAATGATATGTTCCGAAGCGTTTTTTGGTTTAGGATGACAGTTTTAAAGTGAATATATAATTTTTTTTTATTTAAACACAGATAATGATATTTTATGTATTTTGTAGTTGGCATTTTATCGGATGGGCACAGAACTCTTGGAACTTCAAAACGCAAAGGAAGAAAAATGGTTCGATAAGCAAGCCCGATTACGAGGTATGATATAAAAAAGTTGATATAATGATTCATTATAAATGATTGCTTATATTAACATTTTTTAACTTTTTACCTTAATTGCAGATGTGATTTCCATTTAAAAAAAAACTGTGTATTATCCTTCGTGTAAGTTATAATTATTGGATCATCCAACGTAACAGCTTTTGGTCAATTTGAGTGTCTGTTTTTAATTTTCGGTTGTGACGTTGCACTTCTTCGGCGTTCAACGATGATGAGTCGAACTAAAACGCATACGTTAACCTCTTGGCATCCTGTCTGTGATTTGTAATTTGAATGCAATATATTTCCAATCACTTTATAAAAAAAAAAACATATCAATGTAAATATAGAAAGTTGATAAAATTTTAGGCATTGTCAAAGTAAAGTGTAAAGCTTTGATTAAAATATAATAGAATAGAAACTTATTTTATTCTTTTAAAATTTATTAATATAGTCTATTTACTTTAAACCTGTATGCTTTTGTATTAAAAGACATTCTTGAAAGTTTATTTAAAAAATTGATTTAATTGTTAATTATCTTAATATTATCTAACAGATCATACGTCTCAGATCTGGCTTGGGGCTAATGACGTTCAACAACAAGGAAAATTTATATCTGTTTCTAATGCGGAGGGACTTTATTACAGCCACTGGACGACAGGAGAACCATATAAATACAAACTGGAACTAGAAAACTTGCTACGTATTGGCCATATTATAAAGGGATGAATGATGAATCATGTTACACTAAGTGTTATTACATGTATGTATTTAAAAAATAAAAATAAAAATCATATTTGATTGCCATATATACTTTGGTATTGCAATGCCAACGGCAAAGATAACACTAGCATGTGATAATAAACTCTGCCACTAAAGGAAAATTAAAAATTATAGAAAAGCAAAGTACACTCTCTTTTGTTTTATCATGTAACTCTTAAGGTAAGTCACTCGTCAACATTTTAGAAAAGTTCATTCAGAACCGCTAACTTCAAAACTATTTATCAAAATTCAATTTTTATGACATACTAAAATTCAACAATGTAATTTTTTAACATTTAATGAAAAAACTGCTCAAAAATCTACAGAGAAGCCAGATTTATAAGGGACTATTTTTTGTGGTGGATGGATATTTAGCAGAAAATTCTGCAAATCATCACATTTAATAAATTTAACATCGTGGAACTTTAGCCTCCCATACTTTTACTCGGAGAATATTTTCCGTTAAGATATTGCTAGGAATACTTAATATAGGTATAAGTCATGGTAAAATTTACACAATTTTTCGCCTGAAAATCATATATTTTGACCAATATTTCAAAATTAAAATCACTGACCCCATCTTTTTCTATCATCATTTTAAACTACTCAATACTTGTGACTGATCAGCACTTAAGTCATAAAAAGTTTGATATAAGAACATGTTTTATTCCTTATTTAGTTTTTAATACCCCCAAACATGTTACTTTTTAGTGCAAAAAGGTCACACAAAAATTTACGCGCATTAATTTATTAAATAGTTCTCTGAGATTAGTCCAAAATATTTTTAAAAATGTTTTACAGAAAAATACTTCAATGTGCACATATAACAAGCACAACTACATTTCCCTTTTCATCATATTTATATACATGTATAAAGATATAGGCATAAACCAGGTTTAATCTTTAATGAGTGTGTTAAATTGTATAAATGTTTTGAAACGGGTTGGGGTCATCTTTCTTGCTTTATAATCAACAAAAGTTGTATATATAGTCTTAGGTATTTTTCCCTTCCCTAGTATATATTGCAAACGGGATTCAATGCAAACATATAATAGAACTGCTTGCAGAAAACTGAAACTTAAATAATCTTCTACGTTTTCCACAAGTGTATTTTTGCATTAGTGCCTATATTAGTTTATATTTTGTTTAAAGCTTGAATTTCAATGCACAATGTTTTATTTTTGATATTCTCATTTCTGTTCATAAAATATTTATCTTGTATTCATGCAATGCACGCGTGCATAACATGTTTATGAGGGAAAGGTTGGATTTTAACCTTTTTAGCTCACCTGAGCCGAAGGCTCAAGTGAGCTTTTCTGATCACATTTTGTCCGGTGCCCGTCTGTCCGTCCGTCCGTCCGTCTGTCTGTCTGTCTGTCTGTCTGTCTGTCTGTAAACTTTTCACATTTTCGACTTCTTCTCAAGAACCGCTGGGCCAATTTCAACCAAACTTGCCACAAAGTATCCTTGGGTGAAGGGGATTCAAGTTCCTTCAAAAGAAGGGCCACGCCCTCATTCAAGGGGAGATAATTGGGAATAAATGAAAATTTGGTGGTATATGATTGCGCCCATGACAAAAGGGCCTTATGGCATTTTTGCTAGAACAGAGAAATAACGTCATAAAGATGTGACGTTGCAGACTGACGGTGAACTTCGACGCAGAATTTTTTTTAACCACGTGTTTTGACGTTTGACGCATCCAGAGTTTTTATTGCTGTTCCCAACATGTGGAATTTATTTTCATTTATAAATTAATTTAAACAATATCTGAATCTCCCAATCCACTGATTTTAATATATATAAATGAAAATATTAAGAACTGGTTTCTTAAAAAACATATCTAATATCTCTAACACCAACAGTTTTCCTACATCAGTACATGACTGACTGACATCTTCGCTAGTGATCGACGAAGATGAGAAGCTGTCGACAAGGTGCTTTTCTGATAGAATAATCAACCTGTATACTCTAGATAGATAAATTTTATTTACATATTTATATCAGATTTAGGATGCATGTTAGACAGGGGTAAATTGTTAAAATATTGCAAAGGAAGATTGTCTTCCTTTTTTGAGATCCGCTCCACCAATCTCGATACACTGTATACATCGCGATCGCGTCGATCACATGTAAACAATGATCCATCTGTGCATACTACTTAAACTTTTGTTTAATTGTTTGTACTAATGGTGAAACTAAACATACATCTTCTATGTCTTTACAAATCAAACAAAAATGTTTAAGAACGACAGTAAAGATATAAATAAAAAATAGGAGAGATAACTCTGATGTCAACAATCGATATAACAGGGGTACCAGAGAGGGACTTTCATTGTATGAATTTGAATTTTCTCTCGGATTATAAAAGAGATCTTTTGACCAAATAAAAACACTTTTAACTGTCAGCATAATTATGATTTTTTAGATACAAAATATTGTTGTACTTTGGGAATAAGGTCCCGTAAATGTAGAAAGGAAAAACAAAGAAAAAAAGGAAAACAGTAACTATTAAATAAACAAACGTACTTTCAAAATGTTTGGCTTTCTTAAAATCTCTCATCCAAAGCTTTTTTTGGTTTTTTTTTTTTTTTGCATGAAATGATTTAATAATGAATTTCAATTTTTTAATAATAATATACATTTAAAGTATCTACCGTATCATGAATCATGATTAAATAAATAAAACTTTAAAAATGTTGTTTTAATTGTCTTAATAATTTTCTTGTTGCACTATAAGACACTTCAATTTAAAGAAATTAAAACAAGCAAAAACATCCAAATAAAAAAGGTGTTCTAAATTTCTTATTTAATTGAATAGAGCTGTTCAAGTAAATCTGATAAGAGAGAGAGAGAGAGAGGGCAAGAGAGAGAGAGGATGGAGGGTAAAGATAAAGATATTTATATTGAATCTATTTATCCTTTATTGAGAAGTGTGAAACTCTATTGAAAAAGGTAAGTTTTCAAAACAAACAAAATCATAAAATACTCTAAAATCAAAATTTTTTTTTTGTCATTTAAACTACATATATGGCTATTCATTTTCAAGATCTCCAAATTTAATATACATGTAACTCTTTGGTACTTACGTGGTGTTTTTTTAACAGAGTTCAAATGTTTTAAGTATTATCTGCAAATTAATCCCTGAAACCATGAAGAACTTTGTCTTTCACAAAAGCTCGATCAGCATTGAATGTCTCTAAACAGATCAATTATCATGCAAAAAAACCATTTCATCACTGGACTTACGAGGGCGTAAAGTTCGTGGACAACACTGATAATTACTGACAAACATTAATAAAATATATGAAACTATTATTTTCATTAAATTCATGTTTCATTTTATTAACATGAAAGTTATCAACAAAATCTAAGCACAAAAGTTATATTTTTATCAGATTAAAAAATGCACACACTCATACCCGGAGCAGTAAACTGAAAATTCTTGACGTTACCTGACGTCAAAAGCATAATACTAGTATGAGTAACTTTTCTCAATATAGTCACCGTTTCACTCAATACAGTTCTTATGTCGCTTTAACCAGTCATAAATATGTGCACAAAATGTTCAGGTTGCATACGTAAAATAATATATAATAATGCCTGTCTCATATCCTGCAATCCTCTAACCTCTCTCCGCGTAAAAACGATTTTATAAATGGAAATAAGTCACGTTACGAAGTTCATTTTTTACAGCACTGCAATCTCGGAATGATGGTTTTCCCTCTCGCATGTCATCCTGTTAACTGTTCTTTCAGTCCGAAAATATTATATATCACTTAAATACTAATGTACGGCTCCTTTTACTATGTTTTCCCGATTGTTTACAAAATGTATTGGTCTCTGTAGGTGTTTATCCGATGTCTACGCAGAATTTTATCACTGCTCACTGCTCCACCTATTCCGAAAAAGTCCCTTTTTTGACCATTTCCGATCCATATTAACATATTCTAACTTTAATTGCTCAGCCATTTCACAACTTTGAATGTTCAAATTTTGCAGGTGTGAAGTGGTAACTTTTGTCAACCTCGTAATGTAAAAGTCATCCAGATTTCTGCATTATTTTATAAAATACAATTGAAATTTATAAAGTGATAAATAATTTCTTAATTAAAATTTTGCGGTGCTCCGGGTCTTCATACCAAGTCTTATTATGAAGTCATAATTGTAATTAAACATTTAAAATTGAATCAGATTTTACTTTTCTCAGTTCTCATTTAGTAAAGGATTAAAAATATGCT